TGTTAGTCCTGTGTCAAAATTCGTGTACAGGAAACTGTCATTTGTTTCAAAAAAAAAAGAGTGGAGCGTTAGACTCACTACAACTTTATCAAAGGAGGGAAGCTCTCGATTTCTGTTGTGTCAAAGAAAGATTTTGAGCTCTGTTTCAGTTTCATAATCTCATGCGGCTGATCAACGAAAAAGAAACTCAAACTCAGCAAAACAGCGGAAAAACTTAAATCTATAAGTTTTGAAAAAGGGGAAAAAATTGTTCACTTCAGCATTTCTCGGGATAGGGTGTTTGACACAAGAAGGAGGAGAGCGTGGCGTTAGCCGGGCGATCCGACTGGTTAGGTTATAAACACAGAAGGAAACTGCACTCTGTGGGATTGGGAACGTTGAGCTTGAGCTGCAGATGGACGCGATAGGACTGGATTAGAAACGCTGCTCTCATGGCGGTTTCGCGGACAGCACCTATCGAGCTGCAGGTAAGGGAACAATGGTATGAGCACTTGCTGCGAAGAACGCGAGATTTGAATTTCGAAGCCCAATGGAGGCGGCCAAAAGAATGACAGGCAAGGGGAATGATCGAAAAGAACCAAGTTGGCTGTAGGGCGTGCCGTACTTCGAACGAAGTAGCGACGATCAAAAAGAAGAATGGATAATGCGACTGCGTGGGATCAAAGTTAGGAAGAGGGGAAGACGAAAATGATCTGGGCGAATGTTACCCATGACGTCAACGTAGGGTAAAACGTAATCGTGATACGTAGTCAATTGTCTAGAGCATTACAACGGGGACATATAAAGTATGTGTGAGTATTCTTTTCACTCCTATTGATATCGGCTGACTTCCTCATGACACCGATGCTTTCTTTACGTCTTTACCTACATCAAAGTCTTGAGTATAATTTCGAAGACAGGTTAGCTGGGAGACAAATTTTCTTACTTACCGACTTTCAAACTTCTAGAACGAAGCGTCTAGTTTCGTGCTTCGTGCTCTTCGCCTTCACCTTATCACGCCACCTTGGCAGACCTCCTGCACTTTCGGTAGACAGCTGAGTTTTTGGAAACCGCTTGTATGCATCTTCTTTCTGCTCGACACACCACACCTCATAATTCCAGAGTCTTGCATCTTTCCCTCTCCTAAATGAACCTGGGGTCTCCTCAAGCTTCCCTTTCTGACGTTGTAGGATGCTCTTCTTAACGCTGCGCGAAATCTACTGAATAGACCTTTCGGAAGTCAGCCCACGGTATTCTTTATTTGAATGCTCTTCGGTATACGGTACAGCTTTCTGCAGAGTGTTTTCTTGAATAATCCGATTACTATGCCTGTTGAAATAAGAATTTGTTGCGAAGCTAACTCTTTGCCCGATAGAACCTTGATATCCTCCAGTGCTTCGAGGAGGATCTTGTCACGTACGCACGGTCTATTCGCATTAGTCGCATTTCCTTCCAGTAGGTCACGTGTTGCTTCTTTGTTCTCAGGGCTTAAGTGCTGCAGACGGCAAGGTTATTGGCTATCCCGCTATGCTTCAATGGTCCCCTTCCGGAAGTAGGCTGATGCAATCATCAAGCTTCAGATTGCGTTCAACATTGGGTTGTGTCACTATATGACCTCTACCTACGGAATAGTCGCCTAAGAATTTTCTCAGTACCGGAGAAATGGCAATATGCAGCCGCCAAGGATGGTATACATGTGTATTTCTTGAATGAGGATTGTACAAAAAAGGGAAGGCAAAACAATTCTTTTACAGAATGGCATGGTACTTTTCAGACCACCCAGAACCACAAGGGATTGTCCTTACAACCTGCCAACCTTCAGATAGCGGGATTAGTTCTGTTTATTCGGTTGTTCGTGATCTTCCCACCGATTCTGGGAGCAATGTGCTTCTCAACTGTCTTATATGTGGAGGGTCCTTGATACAACCTTAACAAATTACATATTTTCCGGAAAGATAAATGATCTTCTATACTCCTGGCGAAAGTATACTGAGATTCCTTGACTTCTGTCTGTGTGGAGCAGAAGGAGATCCGATATCAAAACCATCTTTGACATCTGAGGCCTTTCTCATTTTGGTAGGCCAATGGACTTGTACAGTACACGTGTTGTTTGTTTATTACGACGAGTGAAGAAACCGACGATAATAGACAAATCTGGAAGCCTATATACTCATAGATGTGGGCGGTGCCCAGGTACCGTATGGTTATTTACTGTATAAGTACGATTAAGATATGAGATAAAAGTGCGCACCGCGCTAACAGCATGGCTTAGGTTTAAGACTGAGGCATGGGATGAAAGAGCGTACCGCGCCAACAGCAAGGCTTAAGTTACCTACTTGATAGCACTCTTATGATGCAGCTAGATCATGCCTTCGGTATCGCCTAAAGAGGTGTTTATAATAAGTATTACCTAAGGTGATTAAGTGGACTAGTTGTGAGCCCACAACACTGGAGCGGGGGCGAAACTAGCGGTAGCTATAATTTGTACAACGACAGTAATGCTTACATACAATTTATTGTGCAACGCACTTACAATATTAGACAAACGAATATCAACTTAAGGATGTGGCAACAATGTTTAATATCACAAAACAACTTTCATTATTTATGAATACAATGACTTTTGCAAATGCCTTTCGTTTTGTGAACTTCTTCGACATGGTTGACGTCCATGCGTGCCTTAGATCGGCAGTCCGCAGCCTGGTGCCCAACTAAGTAGCAGACCTCGCAGTAGCGTGTCCGTGCTACAGTTGGGCAATGAGGTGCGTCTGGTCGAAGCACTTCCATTGCACGTTGTGTCCACAGTTCCAATGTGTGCGTTCTCTCGTCAATTCTTCGGAGGCGGTCCTCCATTCGATCTTGCTTTCGTTTGATGTCGTTGACGGCATTAGAATGATTTTTGCCCTTGTTCCGTTTCCTCAGGGAGAGTTAGTGACGGAATTAGGCTGGTTGATTCACCTTGTTTCTCACTGTGGAGAACTAGCGCAGAAGGGAGTTCGAGCCCGACGGCTGATGCACCAATTTGGTAGTCTGACCAATGAACTTGTACCGTACACGTGTAATATGTTTATTACGACGAGCAAGGTAACCGACAATAATATACAAATCTGCAAGCTTATATACTCATAGATGTGGGCGGTGCCCAGATACCGTATGGTTATTTACTGTATAAGTACGATTAAGATATGAGATAAAAGGGCGTACCGCGCCAACAGCATCGCTTAGGTTTACGAATGAGATATGGGATGAAAGGGCGGACCGCGCCAACAGAAGACTTAAGTTACCTACTTGATAACACTCTTATGATGTCGCTAGATCGTGCCTTCGGTATCGCCTGAAGAGGTATTTATAATAAGTATTACTTAAGGTGATTAAGTGGACTAGTTGTGAGCCCACAACACTCATACCTAAAAAGCAGAAGAGCAATTCAGCAGGCGAAAAGGGGGTATGAAATCTCCTTAGGCAATGCTCTATCAGAGTGCACAATGCGAAAGTGATTTATAAGAGTTGGATGGGATGAAATCACTCTCGAAGACTATCAACTGTCGTAGAGATCATACTCAGTCAGTTACGACAAACCAAAATGTTTATTGAAAAGAAGCAGAGCATCATTACTCGGGAACTAGCAGAAAGGCTCAATGTGATCAAATTCGACGTTTCAAATCCATTTGGTGGAATTTGCTTGGATAGCCGTCTAAATGTTTAAGTACCTATAAAGCTGAGGAGGCGCAGCCTCTCTGGTCGTGCTTCGTGTAATTCATAAACCGCAGTTCACGATAATTTTTGTATAACTACATGATTTTTGACGAGCGATGGAGATGATAGTTCAGAGAATAGCAGAAAAGGTGAAAAGCCTGAAAATTGGCATATTTAAGGAGATATAAAGGTTAAAAAAGCAAAAAGAATTGAGCACTTAAAGAAACGCATAGTAACGAGAGAGAGAAATGGCTTGTATATGACAACGCAGAAAGGAAAAGACTGTGGAGTGATCAAGCTGAAACGCTCTCCGCAGGTGGTTTAGAAGGAGACTCTGTTGTGAGTTGTGACCGTACAACAGAACAATACCCACTTGAATGTATGTACATACTCAGCTAGACTTCAAAAGAAGCATTAGGACAGGAGTGCCCAGAACTAGCCAATTGTAAAGATGTTACCTACTACCAGAATAACGTTAGACCCCAGGTATTCCGGGTAACTCGTCAAAAATTGATGGAGTTTGAATGGAAGGTCTACCGCAACCCCATATAGACCGGTTAGCTCCATCAGACTATTATTTGTTGATCATTTGTTCTCTGCAGAGTGCTTTCTGTGGGATTTCTCGGAGGACTTAAAACACACTCAGAACAACTTTTTGCTTTTCCCATGTCCGGACCTCCCATGGAAAGGGACAGCGGAACTTCAGAATGATGGAGAACATTCGTTGAGAAATTTTCACTAAAGTCAAATGCAAAAATCGGCAGTAACTTTGAACAACCCAGTAATAATAAATAGGAAAAGAAACAATCGAAGCCTCAACTTGCACTCCTTCAACGGTAAGATTTGAAACTCAATCAGTGCCAGGGTATTTAGCAAAACCATGGTCCCTATGGTTAGCAAAATAGTCCTTTTCGAAGACTTTTTGATAGATGGGTCCACGACTGCATCACAAAATATTCAAACTACGAATCAGTAGTTGCAGTACAATCAGGTTGAGCTCAACGATAAGTGAAACTTGGCACATTCCAGACAACGACACGTCACTCATTCTTCATGAGATCTTTGCCAACTATGACAAGCGGGTGATTCCATTCACAAATGGGCCAGTCGTCATCAATATGACTATCGTTTTGGGAATCCTAGTTGAAGTGGTGAGTGCTGCTCTTTTTTTCTGTTCATCGTCAGCAGAAGTGAAGGAGTGAATTATCGAAATATGATTTCTAGAGGGAAAACGAGCAGTTGGCGGCGTATGTCATTTCCCACACCCAGCGCTGGTACGATCGTCGGCTACAGTGGGATCCACGATCATATCGAGGGCAGAAGGAGGTGAGAATTTGAACTGTAATATGCTTTGAGCAGGGGCAGTATTGACTTCAGCCACCCATGGACAAGTGGTAGCCAGACAGAAGGGTCTTGTTCACAATGCTCGGTTGTGTAATACATATAAATATGTTTGATATACGTGCATATTTTTTTACCATCCTTACTATACAGGGTCTCCTACAACTGTGGGCGCCAATTTTTAGAAAACTCTGAAGCAAAAAAAATTTATCAGTTTCTTTACTTCGTCTATCAATTAGCTGCTCCAAGTAGGTTTTCTTGCAATATTATCTTTGAATTATTCGACGCTGTCGAAGGAGCAGAGATAAGAAGTTCATGGTGGGCGAGGCCAGCGTAGAGGCGGACGGAGCTCAAAGCTAAAACTCGCATTTTCTTCTGAATGTATCTACATTTACAAATACACTACGTCGGACAAATACACTTACACACGCACACACACAAACACACAAACGCACACACACACACGACTTTAGCGCGTTATATATAGTAGGATTTTTGGAGGTCATGAAATGAGCGGGCAAGTAAGCGAATGACTTGGAACCGGGTGGGCGAAAAGAAAATGATCACACAAGCTGAATGGCGACATTCGTAGCACTTGTGTTCATCTACCAGTATCTGTTTATCACCTCTATTTGGAAGTATAGCCGATTCCCAAGGTTTTATCACATTTAGTGGTGTTTCAGGTGATCGTCCCTCAAAGTATGGTATGGATTCCCAAGCTTTTCGTTTATAACAGGTGGTCTATCATTTCTGTTATAGAATTATTCAAATCCAGGTAGTCATGCGTCCTTCTCTCTCGAACGATAGGTGACCAGTAGCAGATAAGTTAGCTTGATGTTTTGTTAACTGCTGGTATTTCGCCGCAGTATGCGTTCCGAAAGTCCCACACGGTTGGCGATTTGTGGACAGAACTTCGCTCTCGGACGGGACTCGAATCCGTACTTCTACTTTCCGGGCACCGTGCTCTTATCCCTTTCACTACCGAGACCCCGCTTGCATTTGCCTTCTTAATGGCTTATGGAGTTCGAGACTGAAGTTTCGTCCACAAATCGCCAACCTTGTGAGAGAAGTTGGCACTATTCATATGCATAACTACATGGCTCTCTGGAGTATTGTTCCTGAATTGGTTGATGCAACTGCACTTCTATTCAGTAGTTATTCTAACTAGCGTCGAGTAGGCTTAAAAATGTTTTCAACACCAACTGTTCCTTATTTTCCAATGAGGAAGGTCGTATGTCTGTCTTGAAGAGAATTCAACGTAACTGAGAAGGAAGCGAAGAGCGCCCATTTATTTTTCAGTTTGGAATCCAAAGAGATGTTGACTCCAAATCGGGCAGATGTTCGACTTTACAACGATGGCGCTATTAAGGTGAACATTCCTCAGTACGTCAATGCAATATGTCGAATACAGACCCAGTCGTTCCCCTTTGATTGTCAGGTGAGTGACTTTACAGAAATTTTTTCAAGAGACTTACAGTAAACTTTCCGAGCGCCTTACTCTAGCCATATGGGATCCATAATGCCTATCTTCATAATGCACGCTTCGAAGGTTCATATAACGAAGAAATTCTAACTCACAAAGAGAAATATGGGGTAGCAGCTTGAAATAAAGCCGCAAATTTTCGTAGATTATTCAATTCTTGAAAGGTACAGTCAAAGGCCCCGGCTTGAATGATTTTCCCCGGTGTAACGCCATCGGAGCTGCTTTTCATGAGTCTCCTAGAGCCATGGTTTTCCATGGTTTGGAAGATGATGGAAATGGCTATTGACCCACGGAAACCTGTAGAAGCAAACTTGTACGGTTCTACTTTTTTCACGATACAAGACTTTATTGTTTGGAAACTAGTGGGCAATACACACTCAAGAATCCCCCCAAATCGAGTGTCCTGGTCAGGTTCTGACTACGACGACCGGTGTTCCGAAGGTTGGAATTTATCCCGCTACCGGAGGAGGAGGGGCGAAAATACTCATTCTTGATTGCACACGCACAGCAAGACATCCGAAATCACTGTTATCTGTATGATACTCGGGCTCTGGGCTTGCTACCTGAGTTCTACCTTTCTTTAGAGCTCTCCAGACATCCTTTTTCATTTAATGCCTTTACCGGCATTTATTTACAACCATACTTGAACTACGTCATATCAAGTAACAGCATCGGTAATAATAGTTTTCATATTTTCAGTTCTGCGCAGTAGCTCTGGCGTCTCCACTTCTAAACGTGGACGAAATGATTGTCAACGCAACCCAGCCCCCTAAGGATTCCTATTTTGCAGTGAGTTCATTAAAGCACACTTAACAAGAATTCGGGGCAGAACTCAAATATCAAATCACTTCCGATCCTTTCTCCAGATTGTGAAGCACGGCGTTGAAAGTATAACGGCGCGATCTCAAAGAGAATGATTTTGTTGGAGACTACTTAAAGCACTCCTCATATCATTGTTGGCTGACTGCATATGTGAAGGAGCGTGTTACGTTTGATCCATGACAACATATCCTCAAGCTGCTCAGCACCGCATGGTGGGAATCTGGCTTTATGCCTGCAATTACCCCGAATCCCAAAGATAATTCCGCTCTTCAAAGACTAAAGACTGATTGTCCATTCATCCTAGCAAGGTCTGAAAAGTTTGAAAATGTATGAAATGTGTCCCCCAACGAAGTTATCACTCGGATCGTCCACCAATGAGGCGCTCTGCTCTTGGAAGGCACTGTGAATTCGAGATTCAGTTATCATGCACAGCATTAATCGCGCTGAAAGCAGTGGACGAGATATTCCAGGCGCTGGAGATGAAAAATGGTAACCAGCTGCGGACGAAATTTGAATAGCAATCGTCGTTTTCGTGGTTGATCTCAGAAGAACATGAAAAAAACAGGATAAATGCCCGTGCTTCCAACCTTAATGTGTGAGCCTTTCGGTTTGCAATAGGGCTGGGAAGGTGAGGGCATTGTTAACTTTTATTGAGCACTGAACTTTCTACAGTTATGGGCAAGTTTACGATAATTCCGAGGTACCCATTTTCATTTGATAAGAGGAAGCGTTGATGCAGAGTAGCATTGGTGGTGAAGAAAGCGAGAGAATTCGCCTACTTCGCGAAAAATAAGGCTATCCGAAATAGAGGTTGTACGAGAGTATTATGGCGGAAATGGCATGGAAGTCGTACCTCGACGAGTTTCATTTGTTTCCATTGCGCAAAGAGCTGAGTACATCAAGTCAAAATTGTCTGAAACTGTCTTCCACTGTCGTCATGGGTTATAAAAATTTGTTTGAACTCCCAACATGGGATCTTCTTGAGATTGTGCAGCTTCTACAGCACCGTTGAGCCTCGTCCGCTGTGGGCGTGGCATTCACACGACACAATGTCTGGCCCTGTATTGTTCCCTACCTAGGACTTTTTTCGACCTGATATCGGCACATATGGTATCAGGAGGGGCCTCGAATTTACCCTATGGGGTGATTTTGGAAACATTTTTCCCGTGAGCTATGCTTTTAAGTTACAGTGATCGTATCCATTATTTCGAAAAAACAGTATCGTATGATTTTGAGAGAGAGCATGGATCTTAACAAATGAATTCATTATAAACCTGATTTATCCGGTCTTGGGAATGCTCTTTGCCTTGGAACAAGTTGTTTACGATTGACTCCTTGAGGATTCATTAGTTTGCTCGCATCATCTTTCAAAACTCCCTCACAGCCAATAGAAAATAAAGGTGGAAGAGTGTTTAGCTTGTAGTATCTATATATGTGTAAGAAATGGAGAAAAAGTTCAAACCCTTCACTTAACTTTTTTGTATATCCATGGGTTTGTTGGTTCAGGGCAATGCTGAATGGTTGCTGTTCAATGTAACTGTGAGACATATGACATTCGTCGAAGAAGGAGAGTCGAGAGTTGAAGTGAGTTTGGGGAATCCATTTTTTCCAACAATTTTGTCCGCCTATCCCTTTCAGGTGGTTGCTCTTTTATTTTGACAAATAATTTCTGTAGGTGCACTACATCTTTCATCTTCAACGGCGACCAATTTACTATATAACGGTGATCGTGGCCCCGACATT